TATTTTTGTATTTAGTATATCAACGATTTTGGGATTGTTTTTTGTGAGTATTTAACTGATATGAATGAAAAGACAAAAACTGTGATAATAATTTGTGATCTATTGGGACAATAAAATATGTTAGAAAAATTTTTTCTCCTATAAATATATATGTTTATAAACTTAAATGGTATTCAGTGACAAATAACAATTTTTTATTATTATGAAAATTAAATGATATATTGTTACGAGGCTAGTTTACCAGTTATTACTGTAATTATGCAAATTTTGTTATTGGCGTTAATGCCAATACATAAAAAACAACCGTATGACAAATTAATATTTAAAAAATTTCTTTATTACGAGTTCAAATACATTTTTAAACATCCAAATCATTCAAAATATCAAAAAATTATAAATAATTTGTATGTTTAACATTCTTTTATTTTTTGAGATTTTTTTAATTAATGCCAAATCAATAATAAATTTCACGTACATTTTAATGTGATCTAATAAATGATTACTTATTTTTAGTTACTTTTTGTAATAAGTAATTTTATACCTTACAGATAGAATTTGAGGTAACAAATACATTGCGTGCAGCGACATCACGATGAACACATCCTATACTGCTTAGATATTCCTATAAATGTTAACGACATGAGCTGCAATTTAGTTTTAGCAGTCCTTAGCTCACTACCATAAAAATGATCTGATTTGTGCTCAAGTTAACATTGTAATTCATTATAAAATTTAGTCAAGAATTGAATTCAGAATCAAAAACACATCTTTCAGCAGTTTATTTTAGAACGATTCAATTTGAATTCGATCCAATGAAATAATATTTCACAGATTACTTCAGACCGTACATTGTTTCCATTTTTTGCATTTTAGAACAATTTTAAAGTGTTGGTTGTTAATCAGAAGAAAAACTATTATTCATTAATATTGCAATGACTATTTATTAGTATTATTATCATTGTTATAACTTTCATTATCACTATTATTATTATTATTATTAATTACTGATCTGTTAATTATAAGTGTAGAATATTTCATTAATTCTGTAACAGACTTACTAATCCATTGCTGATCTGCCAAGCAAAAAGTATCATATCTGTGATTCGTAGTTTCGTGTGCTCGTTTGAATGATTCTATCGGAAAAGTAAAAAATTATCAATTATTATTTTTTCCATTACTTGCCAAAAGAATTGAGTTTTTTCAAGCCTTTAAATTCAGAGATGATTTTGTGATAAGATATCAGTACAAATAACATTCTTGTTCACATGGAAATTTTGTGAATAATATCCTTACTTAAGTACGTGATGCTGTTATTCTTTGTTTCAACTTAGTAAGTAGCACATTTACAAAACTTTTACCATTTCAGAATGAATTAATTTTTTCAAGCAACAATAATGAAATTATTGTATGAAAGATAAAAATTTTACTGTAATAATTTCTTCTTTTTTATTTCGAATTAAATGTAGGAGGTCACCGAGGTCACAATATTCAATGAGCAGCATGAGATTGCCATAGTTATCCATGCTTATACCAAGCATACTTACCAAGTATGGATGGTGTTTGAGTGATTTCATGAAATTGATTTCCTGTATTTAATTCTTATTAAAGTTCTTGAAAGACAGCTTCACATATTCACATAGTTTATAATAGTGACAGAGTATTAATTTGTGTGAATAATGATGCAAACTCACTTTGTATAATTAATAAGGATTAAAACTTATGCAAAAATAAATAGCTTAATATGCAAATATTAAAAGGGATATCTCAAATTTGTTTGAATCAAGAGTGACCTGCAAGAAGTCAGAGTGTGCTGTGCTGTCTGCTGAAGATGGGAGCATCTTAACAGCACACATACAATCTCTAAACGTGTTGTAGGCTGTTATCGATGGATTGACCTTAGAAACAGGTGCTGACCCCTCGATGGCACCTCAATTAAGATTACAAATGTACAAATTACAAAATTTTTACAATAATTTTTACATGAAAAATTCCATGTAAAAATTGCTGTAGTAATTGATAATATATCAATTTATACATTGTGATCTCAAACAGATCTTATCGATACAGCTGAAATGATAAAAAAACAAATTTAACCATTTAAAGTAATTCAACTTTGCCGCAAGCTAAAATGATTTGACCCAAATTGTATCAGTATTTTGGATTATTTAAATTACAATTAAAAAGTTACAACGAGTAATATAACAATTACTGCAATTACTGCAAAGTATACCAAACATATCACTGATATCACATTGTTGTTAGATTTAATCTAAATAATTAGTAAAAGATAAAAGTACTAAAAATTCTGATATCTTTTCTAAATTATACAAACGATATAAATATTTTCATCGAAATATGCAAACTTACGTAAGTCTATCACAAAATATAAGGATAAATTTGCATAAACCAATACAGTTTAACGGCATAGGGCTAAATTCCGAGCATCGAACTTAAGTTATTGGCAAATATTCAGTGAAAACTTTATAATTATTCAGAAACGTCATTTTTACGTTTGCAAAATCTTCCTAATTAAATTAACAGCCACAGTTATGATTAATTTTTATAAGGTGTAACTTCAGGAAAAGAATTGCTGAATTCACTTGCAATATTTTAAAAAGTAATTATTTAAGTTAGCATATGATATATTTTTGAGTTCTTGCGTGAGAAGTAATTACGAGTCATTCACTTAATATCATAAGTAAAGTTTTTTCTAGACAATTTTTCAAAATAAAAATTGCATTTTTTGTAAGAAAAGAAGACATATTTTATATGTGTATACTTTCCAAGACTTGTTATCAATCCTTAACATAAGTAGATAGATAGATAGATAGATAGATAGATACCTTTGTATACATTGCAAAAGGCACCAGCACCAAGTCTCATCTCGTGAAATACCACCAAACGAGACTTTTCCAAAAACCACAAATTATTCCTTCAAAAAAATTTTTCAAATTAAAAAATGCGCTAAACAAAAAATTTTTTAAATTCAATTTTTTAATAATTTGTTTTTTGAATTTTTTTAAAATACTGTTCACTTCTTTCTACTTGTTGATAAACGTTTATCAAAATTTGAACAAAATATTAAATAACATAATGGATGTAATACATCTTGCGAGATCACTACATTGTAGTCTAAGTCAACTTTTATGCTAGCACTAATTTTATGCCACTGAAAGTCTCGGATATAGCACTTCTTATTAGATTATTTATCAAAAACACGCTTAATTTAATCATTTTTTTCACATTTTTTTTTTACTAAAAATAGATTAGAGTAAAACTACGTGGTAATTCACTTACACATCATAGACATATTTCAGTTGTCCACATGCTTCCTTTTCATATAAATTTTGAGCTTTTTCAAAATTTATATTTTCTTTTTTAAATCGATTTTTTATTGCCATTTTACCGCATAAAAATCGATTACTATTATTATTAGTATTATTATTATAGCCATTATGATTAGCTGAAGTAATCATTAAATCGCTTAATTGCTGCTGATGATGTTGAAAGCGTTGCTTCACGTTTTCACGGAATAATACGCAAATCAGCAAAATTGTAATAATAGTTCCCAATGGCAAACCAATAGTTAAACTTAATATCACTAAAATTTGCATATTCATTATCATTACAAAAATCTAGCTTCACCTGCAATCTGATTATTTGAACAAAAATTTTACGTAGAAAACGTTTAAGCGCATTTGTAAGTATTTTTATTAGTTTATAAAAGCAAAGATATATTCTTATTTGTAAATTTAATCAATGAATAAAAATTACGATAAGGTATTAGAAAATATATATATGCAATGTTTAGTACGATATGAAAAGTTAAGTCAATTAATTGTTTAAAAAGTATTACTTGTTTCTAATTTGAAAATACAAAATAATCAAGCTATGATCATCACGTAAAATGCTTTCAATATGCAGACCTGTTACAGAACTTATTCTAAATTCACTACTAGGCTGAACTACTGGAGGAAATGTGTAATTCATTTCACTGATCAGTGGATTAAGAACTGGAATTGGTGAGGGAAAAACTGATCTTGCCAGATCATTTTGATCATAGTCTTGATCACTTCTTTCTAAAATCAAAACTTTTCAGTAATTCAGATTACTTTGTAGAAATAAATTCATTATAAGTGTAAGCGTAAAAATTTTTCAATATATGCAGCTTTTATTTAAGTATTTCGAAGCATAATTACACTAATAACTATGGGCTATCTCGACATGAAATGCTGGATAAATAGTTACGGATTTATGAAGATCAAACTAATATTTTGTGGGCTCATAATTAGAGCGAAATTGGGAGATATAGCTTATGATTAAAAATTTATGCAAATATTCAATTTACTGAACTACTGCTGCTAATTACAGGTCATTTCAAAGGTCAGATTTAGTTTGAAAAAAATTTAATATTTCAAATATGTAAATTTGATAGCATACCATTATTAATGTTCGGTAAATTTTCTGAATTTTGATTGTTAATGTATTCCTGATTAGGCCATAATTGGTTATGCAAATGAGATGAAAACCCCATCTGGTTATTCGTCATTTTGGTTTGCCTTGCCGTGTAATCTTCTGTTAATTGTTTCACGTACGATTCCACCGGTTGCCAATTCTGATTTGATATCCTTGCAATCTGAAGTCGGAATAAGTTCAATTGAAAAAAATTCTGCTTTTCTGATATAACTTTTTAATTTTATTGAAGCTATTGCCTATTTAATGATTGAGTAATTATATGATTTAAAATATTATACCAAAAAAAAAGCATAAATTTATTGGTAACTCAAAGAAATGCAAATCATGATATATTATATTAGCAAAATATAATAATCGAAGAAAATAAAAAGTTTATACAAATTTACTTTTGATTATTAGTAATTTTAAACAAACAGGGACAGTAATATTGAGAAAATTAAATCAAATTTAGAAAAATTAAAATTTAGAAAAAATCTTTTTTCGAAGTAATTAATTACTTTTCAAAATTGTCGCGCAGTGTATTTATTTAATAACGCTGTCTTATTCATAATAATATTTGAACAGTCTTGGGATTACATAGTTTTTATGAAAATCATTATACAACCTTTGAACTTGATTATATTTCTTTTTAAAAATTCTGCTCTCAGTATTAACTGCAATATTTTCATTTGTTTTGATTTGTAACAATTACATTGATTTATATGAGTTTATAAAGTTTGTAATTTTTATTATTTACATCAAAAATTAAAAACACATTTTTTTAGTTCATACATTTTATGAAGTCCAATGATTTTCTCAAAAAGTGAAAATAAAAAATTTAAAAAAGTTGAAAAATTCATCAAAAAAGCTAAAATTATCAAAAAAATTTGTGCATAATTTCAATTTCTTTGCTTTTTCATTGTTTTTATTAAAAAGTTTCTTTCATAAGAAAACTGTGCATCAAATAAGTTTTATTCTGAATAAACATTACAATAAAAGTAAATATTTAAATATTTGTTTTAATGATTGAACCTCTCAAAAATATTTTGTTTAATATTTATATTTAAGATATATTATTTTTATAAAAATTATTTTAGGACAAAATTTTGACACAAGCATTGAATCATACTTTTTTGGATAGTACTTACTGATCATGAAAAGATTCAAAAAACCAAAACAAAAAATTACAGAAAAAATTTTTACAGTTTTTACATGGTTTGTTGTTCACTATGACCAATGCTTGGTATCATCAATACTTGTATTTATCCATAGTAATTAGCCACCATAATTTAAATAATAATTATTCTCATTATAAATATTACTACGAAGCTAAAATTTAGTCTTAATAAAATTTGAAAAAAGAGACCTTAGCCAGTTTTGTAGTCTTTTCCATCACTGTAGCATTCGAAATTTGCTTTGATATTGGAGGATTTTGCATATCAAATGATAACATTTCTCTATGCAAAGAAAATTCTTTAAGTGGAGAAAGTGTTGGTTGGTAGGTAGAAGGTAGAAAAAGTGATAAAGTTGTCAAGTTTGAAGTAACCACAGGTGAGGATAATGATAGTGATAAGGCTGCTGTTGTCATCAATAGCAGTAACCACTGTGAAATTTTGATAAGAATAATCAGAATATTTAAAAACATTTGATGAATTTAATCTGCTTTGTATAATGAATACAAATGCATTGTATATAGCATCTCCGATTTACAAAATTGATCGGTGTACTGTAATACTTAAGTTAGAAAACGAATTAAACTAAAAATATCTTGAAAATTTACATATTCACGAAAATACATCAGCTATGACAACACAACTTATAATTTGAAATACAGTGGAAAATTGTGATGAAAAGAGTGATATTAATTAAGCTTATAGTGATATGAGCGAAAATGTCACGATAGCATTTATGACTGTAATATATCCATCTACTTGATTTTGAGTTCATCGTTCTTTGGCTTGTTATCATTTACCATTTTTGTAAATTTGCATAATTAATTTGCTTAGTTATCATTGGCTCTTTGATAATTAACCAGCCAATGATAACAAGCCAAAGAACGATGAACTCAAACAAGCAGAGGGATTTTGTTGGAAGAAACATTTGCATGCATATTTAATTCACACAATAATTATTTACAATCATGGTTAATTACTCAAGACAAAATTTGCATGAGTGATTTCACGTTTTGCAGAACTTCATAACACGTAAAATTGAGAGGTTATATTTTTGACCCTCGCGATGCACTGCTTTATACTGTACTTTAATATACAGTAACTTATTCATAGTAATTTTTTCATAATCATCGGTATAAGCATTTGTATTTGATGAATGCGTCATTACTGATATAGCATTCAAATGAAAAATTGAATTACCAAAGTTTTTTCTTTGCTGCAATTTTTGCACAGCAAATACAAAAATATGAACTGTAAAGTTTTTCTAGAAAAGTATGAAAGTCTTAGTTATGACGTGTAGTTTTTAAAAAGGTAAAAAGAATTGAAAAATTGTTACAAAAAATTGCAAAAAGCAAAATTCTGAACACGACAGTTAATTTCATCAACAATGTATGAAATATTTTGCGTAATAATTTACTTTCAAACTTATTCACTGTATAAAAATGATTAATACTGTACTAGAAGTAACGGCAGAAGATGGTGTGATCAACAGAAACTTTTACAATTAATCGTAAAAATAGTAATGTGAAGTGGAAAGAACAAAAAGTTTGTGCTAACCTGAAAGTAAACAGAAGCACGTGATCGTAATCAAAAACTATGCGCAAAATGTTACTAACGTAAATTACGTATTGAGCATATAGACATTTTGCTTTAAAAATTGTAAAAAAGTTACGAATTTGTTTAACTTTTAGGTATAAATAAGCAATGACAAGAACAAGATCCGAGAAGAATTGTTCAAGAGTAGTAGTACTTAAAGTCATATTACTCAGTCTCGAAAGACTATCAGTTTACTTTAACTTAGAAAAAAGACACTATCATATTGATAATAGTTTAAGTTTAATTCATTTATCTTAAATTAAAATTTCACGTTTTTGCTTGATAGATATAATTTAATTAAGGTGCCGAAGAAGTCAAAAGACTTTTGAAGAAGATATTCAGATAAAATCAAATCCATATAATTGCTCGATCGCGTGATCGTATTTTCTAGTGCTTGACCTCAGATATTATGCAAGTAATCCCCTCAATAGGTCAAACAATAGTTCATTGTTTCTATTTTCAGTCCCAAAAAGGCAAAGTGATATCTATACTTGGATTTTCAACAATATTCACTTGATTCGCTATCACTGTTAATTGTCAGAAGTTTCTTTTCAAATCTGATGAACTAACAAAAGGTCTTTGTGATAAATTTTGTAGAACCCACACTGTTAACACAATATTACTGTTTAATTTAGGAATTGAGTTCAAATATCCCACCATATTACATTCATTAATCAAAGCTTAATTATTTAAGCATAAAACATTTTTAGGCAAATTTTGAATATTTATTAAAAAAATTTCCATCACAAAAAAAGTTAAAATAGACTAAAATGACTGGCAATATGATCACTTTGTGTATAAAAAGTATGAGATGTCAGCACTTCCACTAAGCAAATAGTAATTGCAATATTTAATGTTATACTTTTTTAGTTATTTCCTGAACAATAAAGCTATTTTGTAAGTTGTAGAAAATGACATATTAATTTGTAATAAACTTTAATCAGTAAAAATATTGCTATTTTAATTCTTGATTAATTAACAGTTGTGATAAAGTATGATCAGTATCGATCCAATAATAATAATATATCATATTTCTCATGGAGAGTGTATTAGTATGCATTAATAATCAAGGTAAAATTTGAGTCTCTGAAAAATGATCAAATTATCGATTAGTAAAATCAGATAAGGTCAAGAACAGATAATTAGAGATTATTTGAATGAAAGTTTAAAATGGTCGTAAAATGTATTATCGAAATGAAATATTCATTCATTTTGTAAAAAATAATTAATTTTTGGATAAACATTTTGCATATTTTTGTAGTTTGTATATGTGTTACGTGAAAAATATGCATAGAAATAACTAAATAGAAAATAAAAAATAAAAATTAATTAAATGTAAGTTAAAATATTAGAAAAATTCTTATTTGTACAAAAAAATAAGCCTAAAAAGTAGTTTTGCAAACAAAAATTATTCAAAATTTGTATTAAAACGAACAGAGAATTATTCAACGTAAGAAACTTATCGGTTATTAAAATGAACTAATCCATCCAGTAAATAATATTTAGAACAAATTTAACCCACATCATTAATAGATAGTAGTAACCCACTTCTTGACTATCTGCAAAAAAAAGATACACTGACAATGGGTAGACTAGTTTTTCGATGGAACCAGATTGTAGTTCAAAGCCTGTTTTGTCAATTGTAATAAGGAATAATTATTTACACGTACGTAAAAATCAGACGTACTATTTTTGATATCACAACTTATTAGTTTAATTTTACTTATGCTTTAGTAATGTGATAATTCCTACTATTGTTCACATTTTTGATATCTAAAAATATGATATAATATAATATAATTCGATGCAAAAAATAGGTGAAAAAAGTACCGGATATCTATAAAACATGAAAAAATGTCTATTTGAATGAAAACAGTTACTAAATTGAACAATTATGCACAAATATTATATTTAAGCTTAATTTTTAGCAGAAACTCTTTGATACTTTAAGTATAATTTGAGGTAATTAAAGTAAGTTTTGATAGAGAAAGTTGGTATAATTTCTGATGGATTTTGTTATTATTTACAATTTAAAACAATATTGAAGTAAACATTTATAAAATTGTAAAATTGTGATTGTAATTCAAATTTCAATCTTCAGATTATGTCAATTGAATAACTTATACAAATCATAACTAAATTATTATTTATGCAGAAAAAATTAAATTCTTATCAATTATTTAATTATTTATCAGCATTAATGATAATTTAATTAGTGAAATTTATAAGTAAGACATAATTTTGTGGTCTTTGTTTTAATTGCAATTTCATTTAGAAAAACATTTGAGTAAAGTTTGGAGATAAAATTTAGATTCCACAAATATCTAACATCCAAAAATATTTCAAAAATGTCATTGCAAAAGAATTTCTTTTTTTAAATGCAAAATTTGGTTGACAATAAAAAGAGATGCAACATTTTATTTTTTAAAAAGGATAATAAAATTTTTGTGTTTTAGTGATCAGTTAGGGCACAAATCTGATCATCTGATCAGATCAGACGATCAGATGATTAGATTTGTGCCCAAACCAGCAAGTACACTGAATGATAGAAAATTAAATTAAGTACTTTTTTATTTTTCAATTATTCAATTTAATGGAAAGACAGATTTTTTCTGCCAAATTCCGTTATTACACTGTATTAATGGTAAATTTTGACTTTTTTTTCTTCAAAATATTCAAAATTTTGCTGAAAATTGCAACAATATTTTGTTTTTACTACAATACAATTTTAAATCTTTTGAAAAAAATAAAGTTATATATAAAGCATATTTAAATAGTTTCAAATAAGTCTGCTTGTAATAAAAGAGCATTGTGTTAATGGTAAATTTTGATAATAATTTTTTTTAAATAGTTTTTCAGCTTAATAGCTTGCAAATTAGTGTCAAATCCCTTCGAAATATTCAAAATTTTGATAAAAACTGCAACAATACTAATTATAAAATTAGTTATAAAATTGTTTCAAGCTAAAAAATTAATATTTCAAACTTTTTCATAGCAAAAATGTTAAAAAATATTTGCAAATTAGTGTCAAATTTATTGAATACAAGCAGATATATTTAAAAATAGAAAAGTAAAATAAAATATTAAATTAAGGAAGTTAACTTTATTCTATGACAAGGCGCTAATCATCCTTAGACCATCGATGTTTACTGGAATTGGAACACATATTAAAATTGAATATTTTTTTGCATTCAAAAATTTTCAAAAGAATTTGCATGCAAGTTAACTTTTAAATTATGCACAATTATTATTTTTTGTGTATTAAAATACTATTATTCATTTTGACTTATTTGCAGCAATTTTTTATGGTGGGAAAATTGTTGGCGCTCAAATTTTGAAGTGTTATCGAAAATGCATCAGTGGTTAATTATTAATGAATAAACATGGATAATAAATAACACATATATAAATCATTCAAATTATCATCAAAAACGTAATGTAATTACAAAGCAGCATATTAATTTGAAAAAAGCACTACAAATTAGGTGGCATTATATTAATCTCTGAATATTCATAATCATAATAAAGGCACTAGGATATGTATAATTAGAGGATCAATCTGCTCATTAAATTCAACTTTGTATTAAAATAAAGTTAATTTTGAATATTCAAATTAAGCAAATTAGAATTAAAAGTTTTAAGTTATTGAATTTAAATTATTTCCTCAGACTTAACTATACAGTTAAAACTATGCAAAGTTTACTAAATGAATTCACTTTGAATAAAAGCGAATTTTACGTATTTTTTTAGACAAAAAAGTTTTCAAACAAAACTTATGGGGAGCAATATATAAAGACACTCCAAAAGTTAAGTAATCAAAATTTTCTACCAAAATAGTCTAAATATTGTCTTATTCAAAATTATTAAATAGCTACATGATCCATTATTATTAGTCCTTCATAATTTTGTACATTTTTAATTGAAAAATTAAGCTTATCAATATTCTTAAAATTTCAGCTTTTATTAATATAATTAATTAATTATTAATTAATTTAATTGAGTACAAAAAAATAATTGTCGAAGAATTAATCTGAAGCGATTCTTTTTCAATCATTGAATCCCAACAGTAAAATTGTATTGGAAAACAATGAAACCTTTTGTTTTCAGTCGCACTTAAACAAATTGATCTATTTAAAACAAAAACCGGCAATATTTTAATTTTACCCGTTAATTTAATTAATAATTATCAGATCATTGCGAGGGAAAATTCTAACATACTTTAACGTGCGTTAGAATTATTTTAAAATAGTTACTATTCTAATAACTTCTTTTAATTGGGAAAAAATTAATACAGAATAATACATTTCAAAATGACAAGTGTAGACAACAACAATTTAATACTTTGTGAGCTATCAAAAAATTGTTCAAACTTCAAATTTGCCATTTTTTTATTTCTGACAAAATCTGTGAAAAAAGCAAATATCTTACTCTTTCTAGAGATGAGATCAGTGCAAATATCAAAAATATTGGCTTAATTTTTATTAATTCTGTACAAAGTTTCATTCACGCATCTTTTTTTAAACTTTGTTCTAAAATTTGCATAAATATGAGAAGAATATTCAGTTTTCAAGTTGTTATAAGTTAATTTTTTTTTCTTTGCATCTGAATTCAATGATATTTTTATCTAGTGAAAAGAAAATTATAACTTCTTACAGAGTAAAAAATTGTGATGGCAATTATATACTCAGTGAAACTTTCAGAAATTGGCACATTGTGTACAATAGGATAAAAAATAGAAATTAACTGTAATTAACTGTACTGCAAATTCTTTCAAGCAATTATCGAAAGTGATAAGTTTAATCTTGAATAATTTATATAATTATAAAGGAATTAATTTCTTAAAAAACTTTATTAGCTTAGCTAAATAATATTAATAAAATAAAGATTTATGCATGAATAAATATTCATTTTTGCACTATTTTTGGGCTTTATTATCTTGAATTTTTATTAAGACTTTTAAGTTCTTGTAAATAATAGCTTAATTTTATAGTTTTATCAATGCTTACTATTAAGTTATCAAAGTATAGATTAAGATTAAGCGATCACGCTTAAGGTCAGTTGATTAAAAGTTAAACTATATAATCGAAAGTTAAAATAATTGATTGGATAAAATAGAAATAAAAATTTAACTCGCAATATTCTACACAAAAGAAACCATTGACCTGAATCAAATTTTTTAGAGAAAAAATTTAGGATAAAAATAAGCAAACAAAAATGACTGAATAACATAACTGATATAAAACAATGCATACACATTTATATATATAAATATATTATTAGTATCACTTTTCTCACTTTACATTTCTACTGTACCCTTCAAGAGTTCGGGAATTTTAGTTGGTGGAGAACTCTCCCTGCTACTTGGAGGATCGGTAGTTATATGTGGTATTTGGTGTTTTACAATGCCACTATCTTGATCAGCCATTAATCTGAAATCTATATAATTCATGAAAATTTTACAATATTTACTTATCAATTTTTAGCAGTTTGCATAATTTGAGATTAGTATTTAGCTGACAAAAATTGAATATTATCATTACTGGGATATCACTAGTGTTTAGCGCGATAATAATAATTATTATTATTATCAGACACTAAAAATATTAATGATAAAATACTTAATTAATTAAAACTTAATTGCAAATAATTGTCAGAAAAATAGCATTAAAAAAATAGCTATAGCGCGTTTATTTCAGTTTGTTAGAACTTTAATATTATCATTACTTTAAGCTCAATTAATATTTTTAATTACTTCATTTTTTATTAAGTAAATAGACCAAGAATGATAATGTAGTTGCACTGCAGAATTTTAGGATTAGTACAAAAAAATTACTATCACATTTGGTATTATTTTTGTTTTAAAAATTTATTACAATGATAAGTAATCCCGCCAAATTGTGAAAAGACTCATAATCGTCATTAGTAATTAGCACAGTACATTTCAATTAACTTTCTGAATTTTTTGTATTCATAAATAAATTTACTCGTAAAAACTTTTATAAATGTTTAATGACCTCAGTCAATTTATACAATTAGTGTGTGAATGTAAAATTTAGGAAACAATTTTATACAATTAGAAACAAATTTTAGTTATGTTTTTTAAATTTAGTTAATTTAGAAATATTTTACATTTAAAGTCACCAAAAATAAATTTATTGCTGCTTTTGTCAGTTTGAAGTTTGAAAAAACTGTAAATTAATAAAGTAAATTTATCGTTTTTGATATTTTTTGAAATAATTTGAAAAATTTTTCTAATATTTTTACCTATAAAAGTTTAAAATTTAAAAAAAAGTAAACTTATAATTTTTGATATTTAAAAAATTTTTACCTTCTGAAAGTTTAAATTTTGAATTTTCAGCAGATCTTTTTTCTTGTTTAAAAAGTAATAATCTTTTGTAAAAAGAAGAATAATTTCTTGAACTAAATAAAGGAAACAATTTTTATGATGCATTTGTATTGTCGAGAAATCAACAAGCCTTCAAGACAAAACGTGAATTATTTTCAGCACTTATACTTTTTTTCACTTATTGTTTTTACTTCAAATTTATCACTGAAAAATTTGTTCCATAAAAAGTACATGAAAATTAATCTGTTCAAAATTGGAAAAAGAGTTTTTAGAAATATTTTTAATTTTATTTTTTCTGTGCAAGTAAATTTTTAATGTTACAAGTATCAAATTTGACCTATATTGAATACTCGCAAAGTATGACTGAATTCAATTATCAGATAAATTTTAAACTGTAACAGTTAAATACAAAAATATGACCCCAATTTAAATTAGGCAAAATATAATTTATATATAACTTTATAAATATAATATTTTAGTAAAATTATAACAAATAAATTTTAAGTTAGTTGTATTAGTAATGTTGATAAATAATATGATAAATTGATAAACTTAATTTGATAAATATTATTGAATAAATATTAATTTGATAAATATTATGGAATCCTAATTGGAATATAATACTTAATTTAAAATAAATATTTACAAGTACTGAAAGTAAACTCAAATATTTTGGTATTACACCTTGTTGGTTGTGGAGCGTGATTTATACCTATGCCATGACGCATGAATGACGGAGGATTTCGATGATTACGACCTGAAATTTCACCATTTTCGCAGATATTCATAAATTCATTATTAAAAGCGAACCTTATTAACAAAAATAACTCAAAGTATTTAACAATAAGCATTTTGCAATGATTATCAATTAAGTAATTAGCATATTTTAAATAATTTTAGATTATTATCGTTTTTTTCAGTGAAATAAACTAAAGTTGCTAACATTTAATAAGCATTACGATTATTTTACACTAATCTTCTACAGGTACCAAGAGGGAATATTAAAAAAAAACCTAATCCAAAACCCGCTCCACCATCGCTTCTCACCGATACTAAGTCTTCATTTTGATTATGCTGTTGTTGTTCTCTAGTTTCTGCCTGTAACTTTTATTTTACTGTAATTAAATCAGAAATAATCAAGCAAAAACAACCTTAAAATACTTTACATTAATAATGAATCTTTTAAATAAAAAATTATTAATTATTCTTTTAATGGTTTTTTAAAAAATATTAGTCATTTTCACGATATATATGCGATTAAAAGTTTTGTAATTAAAATAAATTTCAATGTGAGGTGCAAATTTTTTGTAATTGCTAAAAGACTTTTGATTTTTATAATTTCTGATGCATTTTTTAAAAGGATTTTTTGATGCATTTTTTTCTAGTAAATAAAATACTACTACTAGCAATAATTTTCTTATTAAAAATTATTAATTATATTTTAGTTAATAAAAAATTATTATTATTGAAAAAAATGATAAGAATTACAGAGGAAATAAAAAAATTTAGTTTTTTTATCTCCTCTGTAATTCTTATCATTTTTATTTCAGAATGCCGTTAATTATTATGCAAATTAAATTATTCACAAATATAAAGTTATATGGATTCAACTGATGTTGTGTTTAGCATCAGAATACATAGCAAAAGTTTTGGAATAAATTTAAAATGTTTGAAAAAATACAAAATTTCTGATAAAAATAAATTGTTAATATTAGCATTGGAAAACTGATCAAAAATAAATTTAAAAAAATTTGCATAAAAAGTTAAGACTATATTCAGATTAATTAGTCTCTAGTAGATAATAATTGTATGAAGAAATGCTAAATCCCTGAATTACACATTCTAAATTTGACAAAATAGTTTGTTATTAGCTTCAAATTTTCCATAACAATAAGTTTGAATTTTTTAATTCACATGTTACAACCAAAAATTTTATAATATAAATAATTCTAACTTGAAAATCCCATCGTCCTCTTGTCCTCGAATTAATATTACCATTTGTTGGTTGCCTTCGATTTCTCCTAACACAAAATATTATTCCATATAATATTAATACAATATATCCTGTAATTGTCAGTGCTACAAAACATATCCTCATATCATTGAGGTATCGTGCTACATCGTGTAAGTCATCTGCCATTCGAAGGAATTTATAGGATTCACTGAAATGAATTTCGAATAATTATGTAATTCAAAACTCAAATACATATAAAAATTTGGAAAAAATTAACTTAATTACTATTTCTGATTTTTATTCGCTAATTAGCTTTGAATTCACTTTAAAATAATTCAATTTATTAAAAATTTGCTTGCTTTTTTTCTAAAATAATTATTCATTGAAGAAATTTATCATCGAAAACTGTCGTATGTCTTCTACATTATGATTATTATTTATCACTTATTGGCAAATTTTCAATATTTTCACTTACGTTTATCAGTAAAAACAAGTTTAATTACTGCAAAGCTTAACGTAAAGTCAATAACTGATAGCTTACTGACTTGAAATAAATTGAGTACAAGTAATGGATTTCATGCTTAAAATCATTCAAATTTTTTCGAGTGTGACAAATCTTTATGGCAATATTTCAATTAAGTTTAAGTTAATTTTATTTAATGCTTCAGTTCCATTACTTCTAAGCAAAGAGTAATTCAGAAGTCAAGTTATTCACGCCACAACCGTCTCTTAAGCTTACTTTGATAATCAGTCAAATTGTTCAAATCTCGCATATCAGTAGTAAACTTATTTCTCACGCAAATCAACAATACTACTCATATTTCGAATAAGTTTTCAAAGTATAAAGCCTTTAAGCTTCAAAGATAACATATAAATGAAATTTATGGATAATATAAAAATATATCGAAAAATTTTTTGTGAAAAAAGTAAGTAAAAAATCACGATGAATTATTTGAAATTTACTAAACACTAAGGGATTGGACTTTTAAAATTAGTACTTAAATTATTGTTTAATTTTTTTCTAACAAAATCATAAATTCATTGTTCTCTCGAATTCAGAAAAATAAAGTAATTCAATAAGTCAACCCAGGAATTGTATTTGGATCAAAAATAGTCTAAATTTCTGTGTTAATCTCGAGAAAGGTTAGTGATATTTTGTGTTTTATATATAATTTTAAATAATATAAAAATAATATTATTATTTAGAACTTCAAAAATGCTAATTAATATTTCAATATTATCAATTGGAAGCATAAATCGTATTCGAAAGTTTTGAATTGAAAATATAAATCTTTTAGACTATATTATCGAGATTATTTGCTTCAATTTTTGTATTTGTAATAGCAAGTTTTGGTATTCTGAAATTTTTAAACAAACGCAAGTCATCTGATAAAAAAAAACTGCAAAATAATATTAAATTAAATATAAATAAATCATCAACTTTATTACTAATTATTAAATTAATTATAATTATTTTGGAGTTATTATACGAAATTGACTAGCTATGTTCTTAAGCATATTTAATAAACGCACCACATACATATTTTTTTATAAGTTTTCCTTAAGAATTTTATTATTATAACTTTAGTTAATCAACTTCTGCACTTGGGACTATGAATCTTTTCATGCTTGAGAAAGTAAGAAAGTTTTAAAAATTTTAGCGACTTATAAAAAAAAGATGAAGCTCAAGTCATGTCGTATAATCAATTTATAACAGAGCTGAAATAATCAGAAGGATTAGGTCTTAGTCTGACTTGATTTGTTATTGATGACCAAGTATTAAAAGTTTTATAAATTTTTTAATCAATATTATTATTATTATTATTATTAATTATTGATAACTAAGTATTGAAAAAATTTTTTTCAAAGGATTTAAAAATATAAATTCACTCAAAATTTGAGCGAACAGAAAGCAAGTCATTTGATATTTTAGTTAGTTAAATAATTTGTACAAAAAATCGAAAGACAAATTACAAATAGTAAATTCAAACTAAGGATATTGAATAAAAATTAAAAAGATAAGAATAAGTAAAACCTTTGCTCAAAAAGATTAGTGATTACACCAAGTGTTATTGCTGATAATCGTTTCAACGCTTCGTCTGACGTTGACATGTCAAATATTGTGTTTATCATTCCAATAAAGTTAAAAATATTAATGCGATAATAGCACGCTTGTAAAGTAATTCGATCAGAAATAATTCCAATTTACTATTTTTAATTTAAGTTCATATCTTTTACTTAAAAGAAATTATCAATTTTAAATACAGTTTACAAAAAATTATTTCTCAAGAACGTCCAATAAAAATGCAAGTGATATTAAATATAAATCAGTTTTAAATTTTGAGTCTTGAATTCAAATTTACTATTTTAAAAACAGATAATAACTTCGATGAAATAAGTAATCTTGATTTTATGATTCAAATCGATTTCTAACTACAAATTTAAATATCATTATCTGATAAAAAAGCGGTAATATCAGAAAAACTGATAATCAGTTGAGATGCCAAATGATAATGAATATATGCAAATTTTAGGATACGAGAAATAAAAACGATTGGAAATTAAAGATCATCAAATGAAAATAGAAAATAGCTAGTAGCTAAAGCAATTAATGCATATAGCACAAATTTGAAAAATTCTCCAAGTACTTTAGTTTAGAACTAAAATGCTTATATCTCTTCGGAACTAAGGCTTTTCAAAAGCTTAGCCAAAGATAGGATATTATCAAACCTTTTGAGTATATTCCGGAAAGGGCCTGCTGTAAATGCAAGCTTCTGGAGCAAACCTTAATTGGATTCTCATCAAATATTCCTCATCTTCGAGACTTTTTTTCAACTCTGACTTTTTTTGAACACATATGCATATTTTATATGCAGCAGATATTTATTTCAACTTGTTGTAATATCCATATTTTTATACATACGTATCTAAGACCTAGTATTACTTTTTAAATGACTAACTTTTAGTATACTTTTCCTATTCATAATTAACAATAATTTTTATTATTGAGAATATTTATTCAGCAAGTGACTTCAAACGTAAACGTATACTGAAAGCGTAATATTGGTCTTATTCATTTGATAATTTACCATTAAATGTGAGTGATTTGTTGAATGCATTAGTAATTAATAATAATGAATAAATTGAATACTGACTAAGAAGAAAAAAACTAATGACTAACTTTTAATATATTTATTGTGTCGTAAATGACCACTAAGTGAAATTACGTTCCAAGCATTTTGTGGCATTCAACAAAATGATGATAAGTTAGATTTTTTAAAAGTTTTTCGGTCTTGAATTTTACAAAAAAAAAATTTATACAAAAAACAGATTTCTACAGAAGTCGGTTTTCTGTATAAACAATAGTTTCAGCAAAAATTTAATAATGCAGAAATTCATTATGACAAGTTATGAAAAATAATTTGAGTATTGTTTTTGCAATTCCGATAATTTCAATACTTTGCAGCTAATACTGAAGGAAGACAAAGTTTGAATATTCAAAGCAGGCATTAAAATTAAACAGATAAAAAATCGGTTTTATCTTCAACGAATTATTCCATTTAAAAATTAAAGCGAATTCAAAAACTGTTGTATTTAAAGGGTTGAAAGGTCGTTAGTGTTTATAATGCTTTCTTTTAAGGGTCGAAAGGTGAAATTTTTTCTAAAAATAAATATTTAATGTTTAAAAACTGATAAATCATGAATAATTGACTTAAGATAATAACAAAGTTTAAAGGTATTTTATCATAAAAAACTGATGCTCAAAGTTTATTTTTGTTTTAAATTCAACATCAGCTTAAGTATTATTAGAACGAATATTAGACGTAGTCAAAATCAGTCCAATAAAATAACTTTAGTAAAGGAGCAGAAAATTAGCTTGCACTTGCGCTCGTAAAAAATAGCATTACAAAGAAGACTTATGGAAAAATTTAAAAATAAAAAAAGTTTTATAATTCAAAGTTTATTTAAAAAATAATCTGGCAAAAGAAGCAAAAAGTAATTGCAAACAAGTAAGTGCTTTTGACTTGTTTTTGTTGATTGATAAGCAAAAAACAAGCATTTTTAGTGATAAACAAGTAAATAATATAAGTTCTTACGTTTTGAAAAGGATTAAAAAATTTGTTTGAAAGTAATCACAATTCGTAAACTGCTTTTAGAAACATTCACGAGAGGTTACGCCATATTATCAAAAAAACGTAAGGTCACGTTGTATCTTTGGACTATAAAGTTAACTTACCTTCGCATGTTATTGTCCATTTCGTGTGGAATGTTCAAAATCCAAACACCCATCTGACAGAAAAAACAACAAAACTTCTTCCAATGTATCACTGGTAGTTCGATAAATGATTGAATTAATAATCACGCAAAAATTAGACTTATCACCTATGCATCAGAAAACAATAATAGTAATGATTGATTGATCAAGCAGCAATGATAATCAGTCAGTCACTTCCAGCGAACCTCAGCCAGCTCAGTTCAACGACAAATATCAGAACTACTTACTTATATACGAAATAAAATAGAAATAATTGTTTCTTGAAATGATTAATGCCTCACAATATTGATATTACACGCATTAATCTAATGTAATATAAAATTTATAAAAAATACGTCTAGCTATTCGTAAAATAAAATCGCTTGCACAAATAACTGCAATACACAAAGATTGATAGATTTTAATATTCAAAATATTTAATTAACTTTTGATTAATGATTTTTGAATATTTAAATCATTTAGGTATTTAATCCTAACAAAAGCATTAGTAACAGTTTTAATTTTTAACTTCAGAAGTGATATTTTTATGTTTGCCAAAAGTATTCTTGATTCACGCAAGTTAATCATTCAAACTACTGCTAGATCTGATCAAAAATGACTATTAATAACCAAAAATCTTAACATTATAGTAAATCCAAGTTTGAAATAACATTTACTAACAGTGTCATATTTTAGAAAAGTTTAAAATTACTTTATAATCAATAAAATCGGTTTAAATTATATTTATTTAAAAATTGCAATTAAAACATTGTAAAAAATTCGAAAACAATAAATTCCTTTTTTAAATTTCATAAAAAATTCTCATAAAAATTGATAAAATAATTCAAGTATACAAAACATAATTTTTTAATAATAAAAAAATTATGGTGTAAATTTTGTTAGAATTATTTGAATTGAAAAGTATATTATT